CAATGCCTTAAACAATGTCACTAGTATCCATCAATTTTCGCCAGCTTATATCACTAGCCTCATACAATGTTTTACAGCTACATCATTCTTTTTAATTAATACTGTTTAATTGTAATAAATCAATATTGTATTTTATATTTATAATGTATTTATAAATACAAATGTCTCATAAAGACTGGTCTCTATAAATATAAATATCTCATATAGACTATGGCTTATAAAGAATGGCAAACAACTATATTTTACTATTTTTACTAAATTTAATCAAAAAATTTATTCAAATTGACTTACTCTTTCTTCAGCATGGAAGCAAACAACAGGAGTTTTCATAACTCGACTTAAAAACAACAATAATTAAAATGTTTAAATTATTTTTATATTTAATATAACAAATATTTAATTTAATTAAAAAAAACTTTTGTTTTTAATAAAACTTTTTCTTATTTACAGAATTTCATTAAAGTTAATTTTTACCTCATAGGGATTTGTGACATTATTTGTGGCACCTCCCAATCAAGGAATGGAATTCCTGCTAACCTTATATCCAGATCAAATATACCCTATTATAAAAATGAACATAAAATGAGATTTTTTACCACATTGCTTGATACTGTTTCAAAAAAACTAAATATTTAATTACTAATAGGAAAAACAGGAAGAAGCAAACAAAAAGTTGTTAAATAAAAAAAAAATGTCAAAAATGAACATGTAAGGAAATTAAAATCAAAATTGCAAATTAAGACTGTCATGAAATGTCACCATTGACATCATACTCAAATAGTCATCTTTGAGAGCTTCAGTTTATGCATCAACTAAGAGATCAGGTTTAAACAGGCAGTACCTACATATCTATTTTAATATGACATCATCATTGATGTTTCATGTAGACCTAAATCTTCATTATAAAAAAAAAAAAGTAATACAACATATAAAAATTAAATTAGCTCTTTAATAGTGGAATGAGGTATAAAAAGATGTGGAATGAGTTATACAAAGATACTAAATTCTTAGCGAAGTACACCTTTTGTTTAAAAAGCAAGCGCTCTACGACTGGCATATACCTTAGTTGAGAAATTTGTGTTATGTAGTTGAGAAAAAACCTAAGGGAGAAAGTGAAAACAATGTTATTGCATATGGAGCTAGCCTAGCAATTAAACTTCTACAACTTTTTTTCAGAGGAAAAATAATTTCATTAAACTCTGAAATCAATTAGCTTTTACAATGACTGTTACATACTTCCTATCATATATTTTCATATAGATAGGTATGCACTTATCTTCTTAAAAACATCATAGCTTATTGATTAATGAGAACAATTTTTTTATTAAAATGTTCATAACTTTTAAATTATTTTCATTTTTATAAGTTTTATTTTTGATAACAGGTAATTTTTTTTTGGTTAAGCAAAATTCTAAGTAAAAAGAGTGCTTTAGTGGGTTAACTTCACTAACTTCACTTAACTATATATATATATATATATATATATATATATATATATATATATATATATATAATATATATATATATATATATAATTAAAATCACAAAATATATTGAGTAACTTAATTGTATTGATGCTCATTTGTGCGTACACAAAAACCCGAGTGAATAGCAAGAAAGCCTGCACTTTTATAAGAAAATGTGGACAAAAAAATGTATGCAAATATCCAACTTATGTTAATTTCAAATTAATGTTTCACTTTTATTTAAAATTGCACTACAATTTATTTTCATTTAAAATCTTCTCTCTCTCTCTCTCTCTCTCTCTCTCTCTCTCTCTCTATATATATATATATATATATATATATATATATATATATATATATATATATATATATATATATATATATATATATATATATTTAAATAATATATATATATTTAAATAATATATATATATATATATATATATATATATATATATATATATATATATATATATATATATATATATATATATATTATATATATATATATATATATATTATTTAAATATTATATATATATATATATATATATATATATATATATATATATATATATATATATATATATATATATATATATATATATATATATATATATATATATATATATATATATATATATATATATATATATATATATATACACACACACATATATATATTAACGAAGAAAAAACAACTTTTTCTATGGTACTTTAAGTTTCATGCCTATACGACAATCATCAGCCATTATATATATATATATATATATATATATATATATATATATATATATATATATATATATATATACACACACACAAAAATATTAATACATTTATGTATATGATTTAAAATTGTACAAGATTCAACAAGATTAAAATTGAATTCTCATTAAAACATTACCTCATTAAAAAAGTCACCAATCCATTTTGAAACCATAATGCATAGCATTAAAGGGATACCATAAACAATATTTCCTGTAGCTTCTATCAAGACAACACACAAGCTTAGAGTCATACGCAAAACTCCTCCTAAAAATATAAATATCAAAGCTTTGTCTAATCCACAAAATGTTTAGCGCTGCAACAAATTTAAATTTATTTATTTTTATTTATACTTCTCAAGCAAAATTTTTATAATTAGTTTCCTCAGCCATTAGCAAGCAAAGACAGTAAGCAAAACAAACAAAAGCTTTTACTTATTGATATATATAATATTAATATGCAATATTAAAAATATTAATAAAATTAGAGGAATAATTAATTATATTTTTTTAAAATATAGTTCTCTTTAAAAAGTTCAAATATTTTCATTTTATGTAAATAAAAAAAAAAAAAAAAAATTTTTTTGACAAATTAATAATCAATATTTACATATTGATCTGCTGGATATATTTATATTTTGATCTGCTGGATATATTGATAAACTTAACAAAAAAAAAATTAATAAACAATAAACGAAGTTATGTTTTGAAAAACGAGATTTATAAAGTATGACCATAATAAAACGTAATCATAATAAAAGGTAACCATAGTAAAACATAATCATAATAAAACATAATAAAAAGTAATAAAAGCAAAATCTTATTGTTAAAATTGTCCAAATAAAATTTTTCAGCAACAAAAGTTAAAAGTACATCTATGATGTTCAAAATGTCAGTTGTGTTGTGCACATCAGAATAAACCGATTTGGATTATAGTACTTCTTAAACAAGTTTTTATTCTTTTACTGATCTTCACAAGCTGAAAGTGTTAACTTTTAAAAAAATTAGCAATAAATTACACTAACATACAAAAAAAATTTTTTTTTTTACTTTCTTTAGTTAATGGATTTTTTTCTTGTTAATTTTGACATCCCAATTTCAAATATGTGATCTATTTGCTTGTATCACATCAAAATTTTAAGAAAACTTGAATTGAAATATTGATAATTTTAATAAATTTATATACTGATAATTTATATTACTATCAATAAAAATATCACTTTAATAATTTAATATACTGATATTTCATATTACTATCAATAAAAATATTACTTTAATAAATTAATATACTGATATTTCATATTACTATCAATAAAAATATCACTTTAATAAATTAATATACTGATATTTCATATTACTATCAATAAAAATATCACTTTAATAAATTAATATACTGATATTTCATATTACTATCAATAAAAATATCACTTTAATAAATTAATATACTGATATTTCATATTACTATCAATAAAAATATCACTTTAATAAATTAATATACTGATATTTCATATTACTATCAATAAAAATATTACTTTAATAAATTAATATACTGATATTTCATATTACTATCAATAAAAATATCACTTTAATAAATTAATATACTGATATTTCATATTACTATCAATAAAAATATCACTTTAATAAATTAATATACTGATATTTCATATTACTATCAATAAAAATATTACTTTAATAAATTAATATACTGATATTTCATATTACTATCAATAAAAATATCACTTTAATAAATTAATATACTGATATTTCATATTACTATCAATAAAAATATTACTTTAATAAATTAATATACTGATATTTCATATTACTATCAATAAAAATATCACTTTAATAAATTTTTATACTGATATTTCATATTACTATCAATAAAAATATTTAAAAAATTCCACCAAGATTTTTATTATATAAAATATATAATTTTATTGAAAAAAAAAAGAAAAAAAAAAGAAAGTTTTATCATTTATCTTAAATAATTTGATTCAAAACAAATATCTAGTTTATTGAGTAGGTCTAAATTTCTTGCATATTGACTTCCGACAGTATTTTACTTCTGGGGCATCCTGTTAGAGCAACCAGCAGTAGTCTGCTAGTATAGTACTACTCCATTGTCCTTGGTATCATGATTCCATCAAGACAATTTCCTGATAAAAACGCTCTCCATGCTCATAACTGACCTCACCAAGATATTCTGATAAGAGACATCTTAAATCCTTGTTGTCCAAGATATTCTGATAAGAGACATCTTACAACTCTGTTCTGGAAGGCATCTATGCACTGCTTAACCACTTCTATGTAATTGCTAGATTTATTATTTCCCAAAAAGTTGCCAACAACAGATTTAAAAGCTAGCCATGACTCAAGATCTTTTCCACTTAGTAGATCTTGAAAATGTTGACCATCACTTTACTGATCTGAGGGCCTACAAAAATTCCTTTCTTTATTTTAGCATCACTTATTCGTAGAAATATGGAACGAAGATATGCGAAGGCTCCACTCCTCTTATCTAAAGCTGTTATAAAATTTTTCATCAGACATAATGTAGCAGCACAAACTTTAAGTTTTTGATGTACTGATGAAGAGCCGCCAGTTTTTAAGTTCATGCTCATGACCAAAAAATGCCATGAGATATATTATTACATTAGCTGTCAATATCATTACAGTAGCTGATATTATCATCTGATGTAAAATATTGCAGCTCTTTATGTCTGAAGCAAAACTTACATATTTTATCATCAGGTGCTAACAAAGTCCACTGTTTTAGTCGGGATCCAAGAAGCTCTGCTTGTCCTTTTGTCAAAGAGAGATCACGTAAAACATCTGAAAACTCTACATTATTTACTAAATGAATTACATTGCTTTCAGAAATATAGTCATCATCAGAATCATTAATATTTTCTACCTACCTTGATTATCATTATCATTCTGAGAAGAATCATTTGAGGAAAAGAGTATGAATCAGGGGGAATTGGAACTGGAAAGTTTACAGGGTTGTCAATTACTGGCTTGAACACAGATTGAATGTTGGGATATAATACTGATTTACAAGTTTTAAATGAAAATCCTTTTATTACTGTCATGCAAAAGTAACAATCAGTGGCATGATTTGTTGGTTCGAGCCATTAAAACACCTAAGGGCATTGACTTGTGTTTTGGTGACTTTTGCAATCATCCTGCTAAAGTATTTGTACAAATGGAGCAAATGATATTAGGTCCACTATTTCTCCACATCATCAACTTTGGAATAATAATAAAGTTCATAAGCTTTTTTTAATAAAGGGGTCATTGTTTTTCCATGGTCAACATCAGTAAAAAATCTACAAATATAGCAAAACAAATCAGAAGAATTCCAACATTTTCAAGTATCCATGTCAATATTATTTATTATGAAAACAAAATATGAAAACAAAGATCAATAAAATTATGGCATAGAATATACTACAAATAAATACTTATTTTGAAAAAATGTTCAAGAGCCAGGTTTTTTTTTGGAAACTGATGGGATAGAGCAAAACGGCTTTCAGATTTGAAATTAGCATAAAAAACTTATATAAATACACTTATTGTTGTATAGGAACAAAAAATTGTGTATGTCAGTGCTATCTACCATGCAGAGAATAGTTTTGCCCAGTTCAATCCCGAACAAGAAAGGGAAGTTTTCCATTTGTGCAGCGACTATTCCTACTTGAGCAACAATCTTGCTGTTCTTTGTCTCAGATTTTTGCTAAACAAATAGTAAAACTTAGTAGTTTTCGAGTATGAAATAAAACAATTCAGCTTTTACTTTCCAGTGTGTAGGACAAATTACAAAAAAACTGGTTGTCCCAGGGAGGATATATTCTTTTACCTTTTTGAATTGACATTGTTCAGTGTTCAAAGCATTTTTCATTATGCTGATGTAGGTTTCTTGTATTGCCAAGTTCAAATAGTGAGCATAATAATAGAAATATAGTGCTTTGGGTTCACAGTTACTTTTTTCTTTGCAACTCCTGATTTAGTACCTGCCATGATGCTGGCACCATCATAACATTGACTGCAACAAAGATTTTTTTCTATAAGAACATTTTTGCAATTATACTTATAACAGATGAATTTTTCATAATGTAAAGTCTGAAAAACTTTTTATGCACTTCTAGGTCATCTTTATCTGATTATCACAAGCAAATCACCATTTGCTCAGTGTTGAATAAATCTGTAGTTTTATCGACCATAATAGTAAACCATTTTCCATAAATCTTAGATGTAATGCTTTGGAGTATAGTAAAACCCAATATTTGAAGAACTTTATTGTTGCACTGACTTATTTTGCTACTTTCTCATCCATTTCTCATCACAAATACTTCATGCACTTTCTAGTCATCTTTATCTATATATCGTAAGCAAATCACCATTTGCTCAGTGTTAGGCTGATCTGTGGTTTCATCTACCATAATAATAAACCATTTTCAAGAAATGTTGGATGTAATTTTTCTGAGTATAGTGAGGCCCATTATGCAGAATTTCAATTGGATATTTGCACTTGTGAACTTATCTAGCGACTTTCTCATCCATTTAGTTAAAACAAGATTATCTTAACTGAGAAAAGTTTAAATTAAATTCTATATAGTGCTTATCTGTATCTTTATCTGTATAATGACCACTCAGAGCAATTGTCTGGCAAGAAACTGAATATTGGTAACAATTAGTAGCATTGCTCTATTTTTCTTCTTTTCCATGTTTTGCTTAGAAGTTCTCAAACATCTTTAATTGTTGAAATAGTTACTGCCTTCTCCATGGCTTCTTGATTAGAAAGAGTATTTTGGTACTTCTGGAATATTTGAAAGCCTATTTTCAAAAAACAATACTTTTACAAAATTTGGTTTTATACTTTTACAAGCTGTTATTAAGCTGTTATTATATATATATATATATATATATATATATATATATATATATATATATATATATATATATATATATATATATATATATATATATATATATATATATATATATATATTAGGGTGGAGCGATTTTAAAAATTTTTGAAATTTGATTTGCCTGAGCTGCGAATCAATGTCTTATGGTGAAAAAAGAACCTTACTTTTTTTTTTTTAATTTAAATGAGTTTTAGAGGTTCCTCTTTGGATTCTAAATTTATGACGGATCCTAATATTGTTGAAATTTTTTTTCTTCTAAACTATATCAACCTGGTACTCAAAAGAAGCACAATAATATGCTTTTGAATATAATATTTGTTTTAATTCAAAACTA